TACAGCAGAAGTTGAACAAATTGTTATTTCTGAATGGTATTATTATTATTAGTATTATGTATATGAATGTTTCGGTTTAAACCTTTTTTTTTTTTTTTTAGTTTAAGAGATCTTTGTAAGAACAAGAGCTAATATTAGAGCAATTATCCTGGAATATCGAGTGATCGAGTATACAGTTATTCTAATTTAGTTACTAATTTGAATGCTAAATACCCTGTCTCAATATATTTTTTTAATCTTAGAGTCACAAGCAGTTGTAAGTAGGCTTCCTTTCGTTGTTCCTTTATGGCAAAAGGTTGACGAAAAATCACCGTTATGTTGTTCAGTTTTGATTTTCTTTACTGTATTCGCTGACGTGTGTTCATATTTTATTTTATTATTATTATAATGTTCTTGTGTTTAGTGCTTGAAGGTTTGTACAGAATTGAGTTTGAAGTTATGAGAATAAATGTACCAAACTGATACATCTGTCTTTAGACGTATTTTCACAACACTAACAAGAGTGATCACATGAAAAAGGACAAATGCAGCATTCCCATGGTTAGTAGTCTACCCGATCACCCTTTTTTTTATGTATAAATTATTAACTAATTACTTTTCTAGCATCCCACCGTTAAATTTGCCAAACTTCTGCAGTCCTCTGATGTTGCAGAGTTAGAATGAGAACTAAGGTCGTCTGGTTTGAAGGATTTTGAGTTTAGACTTGATTTAGAAAGGACATAGTTTACAATCATCATTAAATGATATTACTGATCTTAATAAATTGTATTTTACTTCATCGACGATAAAGTTACACGTCGTTAGTTGTCTTAGTAAATGTTGTAACATTTGATTAAGAAGTTAGCACACTGGATCATATGCAAAATTTGTAATGTTTTCAAACGAGACCCAAAACTCGAGCGCCATTACGTGATGTAACATGTCATGTTAAATGAAAAAATACGTTTTTATAGTTTTGGTTATATGAGACGTTGAACGGATATTCCGAAAGTCAAACAATATGTTAACAGTTGCCTTAATCTGAGCATGATAGCTGTGTATAAAGTGACGATTATTTTAGATAAATACAGTTATTAAATATTCTAAATTAAGAGCAATATCACTTCTCTCCAATAGATGGCGGCATAGGAATGAAATAAAAATTAACCGTTCATATGAGTTTTATGAGACTGATTTGTCAAATTACCAATGAAATACTAATTTTTCGTTATATTTAAACCAAGATTAGAATTGCGCGTTTAATTTTTGAGTTCGTCTTTATATATGTGTATATATATGTATGTGTATATATATGTGTGTGTATATGTGTATATATATGTATATATATGTGTGTGTATATGTGTATATATATGTATATATATGTGTGTGTATATGTGTATATATATGTATATATATAAGTTACTGCAGTATTCGGCTGTGGCTGTCAAGCGGTAAAAGTTCTTGTTTTATGTACTGTAAAGGATACTGAAAAAAAAAGAAAGAAAGAGGGAGGAACAGGGAAGTAGAAAAAATGTGCAAGGAAATAGCTTTAAGTATAGATTTACTAGGGCCATTTACATTCTATCTTATCAATTAAGTGTTTGAAGCTGGCTTGTTTCCTCGAATCCAGCTGGCGCAAATTGGAACTATACCACAAGTTTATCGAAACACGTTAAGTGTTCATAAGCAAGCTTTGAAATTTTACTTTGTGACTGGTATAGTGGGTTTTATAGACGGTTTAATCAATTTTGTTGTAAATGATGGTCTATAATCTTCTGCATGCTGTTTACATATCAGCCACAATGGTTTTATGGCATAAATATATTACAACCTGCAAACTTCTGTTAATAATTTAGCAAAAAGGCTTAGCTGTAAGATACGTAGTTCACTATTATTAATTTTATGATTTTAATGTCGTACTATACGAGTAATTTGATGTTACAGCTGTCTATGATAAATAGTACTTACTATATTCGCACATCGCAACAAGACATTAAAGTTAATAGGTATTATTAAAGCCAATAATTTACCCCCGCTTACTAGATGATTAATATTGTCGTCATGGTGTCACCTTCAATATATTGTAAACACCTTTAAAAACAGGCGTTTCCACTGTTGTTAGGCTATCAATTTTGTCAGCATGTTGATACCTAGAGAAAATAAAAGATGTAGCTTGGTAATTTGCTTTAGGTTTGTTATGCAATGATTTTTGTTGTAATAGTGATATCTTGTACGATTTCTGGCAGTCGCTAGGCAAATAATTATATTAAGAATTCTCGCCAAGTGTAAAATTATAACAGCTGAAGATCAATGTTTTGCAGGACGGTTTAAAGTATTTTTAATAACCTTTCAGTCTAGAATTTGTGATGAAAATCACGCAAACTGCACGTTTTTCTTCACATTCCACTTAGTTTGTCCATTTGGGAATTCAGATCGGAGGAATTTGAAAACAAATCTGCTGTTTACGTGATTTTGCTCATGAATCTGAAGACGTATTTGTTTCCTATGCTTTGCCAGGTTTTGGCATTTAAACAGTAAGCTTTCATTCCTTTTCTAACGCCTATCATCAGCCCAAATGTACAGAACACAGATTTAGAGATTTGAAAAGCGGAATTTGACTTTAAAGTGGAGGGGTGATGAGAGGGAAAATGACAAAAATTGGAAACTGCTATAACGTAGTACTTTATTTAATAGTAATTTTCCCGGTTCAATCACACTCCCCTCCACACACGTACACATACAGGCGAAGAGCTATTTAAACCTAGAATGAACTCCATCAGCATTTTAAACAGCGTCTCGAATAACATAGGAGGCGCACAAAAAATTAAATAAAAAAAACATGAAAAAATGATATTAATTCAACTAATTAGTAATTACTGCTCGGGTCACCTTTCCAATTTACCTAGAAAATAAGTGATTTCAAGTAATTTTTTAGTAAGTTATTTAAGATGGATGGTGTTACAAGTAAAAATATTTAACTGCGTCACATGATGAGTGGTATCAACCATGTTGGCAATTAAAGGGTTTGATATTTTCTTTTATCCTTAATTTCTGTTCTTCACGTCAAACCTTTTTAAGGTGCTATACACTCAAACTTGATTAATAATATCTATCTTTAGTATAAAAAAACCTGCAACATTCTGGTAATTAGCACGATATGTTTACTGCATTGATAAACAGTCTAAGATATTTTTTCAAGACGTTTTCATGCATCTCACTTGGTTAACGTGAGGATATCGATACACCCAAATGAGGGAATAAGGGTTAATGTGTTTTTTAATATAATATACTATTTTTAAATGGCATGTAGACGGTGATATGTAAAATTAACCAGTTTACAGTGTAACAGTTTTATCTTAACCACTTTTTGTCTAGGAAATTGCTAAGTCAATTTTTACTTAAGTACACATCGAAAGACTTTTATAAAGTTTTTACAGAAAGTTTCTATTTTTAAACCTCAAATAATATAAACAAGTTTTAGTGAATACTGAAATTTATCACAAACATCTCTTGCGGGTGACTGCCTCCTGGTGTCTTAGCAGTAAGCTTGAGAGCTTGCGATATTATAATTCGGAGTTTGATACATGCGGCGGGCACAGCACAGATAGCCCATTGTGTAGCTTTACGCTCAGAAACAACCAAACGAAAACTTTAATGTTGGATTAGAACTTTGAAACTAAGTTAGAGTAATGATCGCTAATGGAAATAATTATTCCCCGCACATTAAAAAAATAGAATTACACTCAGTTGGACATCTAAAACTGACTGATTGACGTACACAGGCTGAACATTCCATAGGGACATCTACATACATTTCTACAACTCCCTACCAATTGTCAAATTAAAAAAAAAAATGCCATTTCTGCAATGAAAAGTAAATATAAGAAGGGTGGCAT